CCTAATGTGGCGGAAGAGCAATGTGCATTCCGTTCGAGCCGCAGCGATATATATATGGTATTTATGGCTCGTCAGTTGCAAGAGAAGAGCAGAGAAGGACACCAGCCATTGTACTCGTTTTTTGTTGATTTCACCAAGGCATTTGATACGGTGAACCGCGAGGCATTGTGGCTGGTGTTGGGTAAGTTTGGTTGCCCACGTAAGTTTGTAAGTTTAATTAAACATCTGCACAGTGGTATACGGGCGAGGGTGCAGATGTGTGGACAGATCTCAAATGACTTTGCAGTTATCTCTGGTGTGAAGCAAGGCTGAGTCTTAGCTCCTGTTCCGTTTATTATATATTTTCATGCAATGATGTCTAGTGCGTTCGATGCCGCTTGTGCTTACAGTGTTCGTGTGGAGCATCGTATTGATGGTGGGTTGCTGAACCTCCGTCGTTTCGGTGCGAAAACTCTAGTCTGTGAGACAACTATCCGTATGTTGCTGACGACTGTGCATTGTTTTCACACAGCGCGGATGAGTTGCAGCACATGACTAGTGCTCTGGCTTTGCCAGCGGCCAAATTCGGGCTCACCATCAACACAAGCAAAACTGTCTGTCTCTTTCAGCCTTCACCGGAGGAGCAATCTTCACTATTGCCGCAAATCAGCATTGGTGCTGAAGTAATGGAAACCGCCTCCCGCTTCTGCTACCTTGGGAGTGTGATGTCGACTGACCAGCAGATACACAGTCAGCTGCGTATCCGCGTCTCAAAGGCAGCGGCGGCATTCGGGAAGCTGGAGTACCGAGTGTGGAACAACCATCAGCTTAACATTGCCACGAAGCTGATGGTGTGCAAATCTATGTTGCTGTCCGTTCTTCTATACGACAGTGAAACGTGAACGATGTACCGGCGGGATGTGCGATATCTCGAGTAGTTCCGTCAACAACGTTTGCGACGGATTATGCGCATCACTTGGGGAGACAGAATTGCTGACACGGAAGTGTTGCGACAAAGTGGAATGTATGCAGTGGACTGTATGCCTTTGCTGAGACACCTCAGGTGGCTCGGTAATGTGAGCCGTATGGATTCGACGCGGATACTGAGACACCTATTATATGGCCAGCTGAGTACTAGGAAGCGGCACCTAGGGAAACCAATGTTACGTTGCCAGGACATGATCAAAGTGAGTCTCTCACGTTCTTATCTTGATTGCAGACCATGGGAATCGAAAGCGGTTGATCGGCGTGCGTGGCGAGATCTAATCACGAAGGCAGTTACCGAAGTGCAGGAGAAAGACCTCATGCATGCAGAGAAGAAGCGGCAATTGCGAAAGCGACCGACGCCGTAGGGCTGTACTCCCTCGACATCAAGCGCATGGTGCTGTAGAACATGCAGTGGCGAGTGCCTGAGTAAGGCAGGCCTAGTGAGCCATGACCGAGGACACTCGGCACCACCACGGAAGCGAAGACGGGTCCTGCAGAGAACGTAGGCAGAACCGGCGCAGCGTTTGTAGGTACGCTGTATCCGATTTACTAACCGCGTGCTTCCATGCTAAGTCTCTTTATTTCAGGTGGTGAGTTTTCACATTTGTCTTAATGCTTTTTTTTCTCATATAAATGTCTACCTGTACTCTCGTCCATAAAATTGCACACGTCGTTTAAGCCAATTGTAGTTAATTACGGTAACATTTTGGTGTTTGTGTCAGTTCCGTAAAATATACTTTCTGACTTCGTGGACTTATCTCGGATACTTCTGTAAAGAACTTACTTTAAATGCTCATTAATTGAAGATTTATGTCACCGTTTCCTTATGCATTACTCGATTTATTTTCTTTGTTACCTTTCTCTCAAGTGATTGGCGGTTGCCTGATATCCCCGGTGTGGCTGCGCTTGATGTGTTTGTTGACAAGGTGCCTACCTGTCTATTACCCACTACCTCGTCCATACTGGCTCCAGGAGATAGTTGGTCGTTGCTAGAGGGGACGGGGTGCACAGTCTTTGTGGCCGTGCTAGGCTCAAAGAGTGGTTCCATGCACTCAGTGTGGAGCGGACTACGGTCCAGCCACCGCCTTGTGCGCGGTTGATTCCTTAAATACAGCGTGCTTGTGTTTGCCTGTGAAGGAGTATGGGCCGGCTCCGTTGATGAAACGTGGCTCCCATCCACATGTCTCGCGGTCTAATTAATTCGGGTTTACACTGGATATGGGGTGTGTGGGTAGAGCTGTGCGTGGTGCATCGCAAGCCACCCATGGTCCCTCTGTAGGCACAGGCGTCCTATGACCGGCCACAGTGACAGGCAAATCCGAAACCGGATGCTGCCAACCATATATATATATATATATATATATATATATATATATATATATATATATATATATATATATATATATATATATATATATATATATATATACCATCGGTGGAGCAGGTTAACAGTACTATCTGTCCGCCGCACATGCCATCACAGTCTCGTTCGCATGCCTAATCAGGACGGATTGCGCGAACTGCTGAGGGAACAGTATCCCATGCGTTGCCTCTGATATGCTCTCCACCTAGCTTTCAAGAAGGCCCATTCGAGTATGTGAGGAGCACATATGTAAACAGCGTCTTGGATTTCGTGCATGTCGGAGCTGTATTGAGTGCAAGTTTACCATCCTCCAGACGCTCGAGCTTCCAGCCAACCTACTATCGTTTGCTTCTTGGATATATGTGCTGCATTTGATGCAGCTGACAGAGCTGCTCTATGGAGTTGTATACTGAGAAGGGGTTCCCGAGAAGTATGTTAATATACTTCAAGTCATTTACTCGTGAATCTAGGGCTGAGCACGGATGTATGGTGAAATTTCTTTCCCTTTAGTATCCCCAGTGGCGTGAGAAAGGGTTGTCTCGCATCACCCTTCTTGTTCTACTTCGCTATGGCCCGTGGCCGAAAAGATCACACGTCTGCGTTGTAATCCGGAGGTAACTGGTTTTAGCCTGCGTAGGAGACTGAGCGACCTACGGAGTATACTTGTCCCACGCGCGAACGGTGATAGCTGCGAGCAGCTAAGCGTCGGTATGACGTACCGATGTACTGCTGATACCCTTTTATGGGTGAAATCTGTAAATCTGGAAAACTTTGGGCCTGATGGCATAAAGTGATGCGCGTCGCAAGTCGGAGTATGCTGACAACATCGTCTTGATCTGCGACTCCTTGCAGAATGTCCAGGATATGCTGCGCAGGTTGGAGATGTCCGCATTCCAGTTCGGAATGACATTAACCTTTTCCAAATGCAAGATTTTCCTCCAAGACTGGTTAGAAGCTGCTCTTGCCCTCACACTTTCCGGCTCTTCTTCAGATGTAGTCGCAGTAGTAGCAGTAGTAGTACTTTCACAAGCTGATTACAATGCGCCATAGAAACCGTGGCAAAATACAAGTGCGGAAGAAAAAAGATTTGTTGTTTAACACACGATGGTTTGCGCTTGTTTGGAGCATTTTACATATAGGTTCGATTAGATAGTAACAAATGATGCAGTTGAACAACACTGTTGCCATTGGTGTCTATTGCGCGCCATAACCTAAAGCGTTTCCAACCACTGTGAGTCTGAATCGCGTGGTCCAAATCCTGGAAGGCGAACCAGTCCAAAGGATGTAAAGCTTGAGGTTGCCCTCGTCATGCTCCATTTCCACATCATTGGCTACCCACTGCAACACTTTTCCAATCATTTCTGGGGAGCGCAAATGACGTTCGACAGGGAATGTGATAGGCTGGCATGCGCATTACGTGTCAGAGGCAACGAATGCGGTGTCGGAGAAAAACGTTTTGGAGGCGTGGGCTATTTGCTCCAAGCACTCGGTCTCGGACTTCTGCGTTATTCACGTGATGCTACCACAACATGTGAGCAATCCTACACAGAAAACAATGATGCAACTGACAATCGTTATGTCTTCCTAGCGAGTCGGCCAGGTCTCAAAACCGTACAAGAGGACCGCACGTACAGAGGCAATGCACACCCTGCCCATCAACTTGGGACTGAGATCACGAGGACGCCATAGGTGTCTCAGTCTGAGGAATGCAAGTCGAGTTTTGCGATCCGTTGTAAGATCTTATCTCCTTGGGGTGGGCGTCCTCGCGGTATACTCAGCCCGCATGCGACTGGTGGTGGTCGCACGGCAGCGAAGCGCCATTACGGCGTACAGCTGACATGTTATTGTGTTTATTATCTCCTTGGGAGTTCCATTAGCGTCAGCGAATTGACGGGTGAGATCAACTTTCGCATCACCAAAGCCAGAGTAGTCCTTGCAAGCGTCTGACGTCTCTGGCGCCAGCGTGATATTAGCCTTGTACTACAAGATTCTACAAAGCTACGGTACGAACAGTGTTCCTGTATGGCTGCGAGACCTGGCCTGTTCGAGCGAGCGATATCCAGAGCCTGTCCGTTTTTAATCACCACTGCCTATGGAGTATCACTGGTGTACGTTAACGGCATCGCATTAGCAATGACGATGTTGGACGTCGGATATTCAGGTCATTTAGACTCAATTGACCACTGAGCTGCACAATTCCATTGCGTGGGCTCCGTTGGCTCGGGCACATCCGCGGATTGCCTGCTCAACGGTTGCCCCGCTGCGCATTGTTTGCATGCGTCGACCTTGATTGGAAACGACGGAAAGGTGATCAACACACAAGCTTGGTCCGGGGTATCAAGGCGCTGACAACAGTTGGCCACGGTGAGGCGTTCCAGACCCCCGGTTTGTGAACCCAAGGAGAGTGAGCACACCAGGTTGGAAACGTTATCAAAGATGGTCCAGACCCGCACCCAATGACGAACGTGTTGTGAGACTACCTTTACTTGGTTGCTTTTCTCTCCTCTATTTTCGTTGTTACCAACGTGTTGTGGCACGCAGCCAATTATTTATTGGCCGTGTTGAATATATATATATATATATATATATATATATATATATATATAGGGTTGGCGGCAGCAGTAAATTGCAACTTGAAAGAAACTGGATAGGAAGCGCGACATATACTCACCAACTTTATAGGAATAGGTCTGTACACCTTCAATGCAACCTAAGGAAGAGGCACAATCAGAATGTTGTTTCTAGTTACCGGCTGGACTTTCTCCAGGTACTCAAACGGAGTGGAATCGAACCTGCGCATGTATTCTTGAAACTCGGAAGGCTTTTGTTCGGGTAAAAGGTGAACTGAGCTCATATTTTCTACAAAAATGTGAGAAGCAGGTGCAAACGATAAAAACAAGTAGAAAGACCCACTTTGGAGAGTTTTCTCAACTAGACTGGACACCGGCTCCCCCTTCAAATCGACGAAGGTTGAACACCAATGGAAAACATTCGCGTGAGGCTGAAAAGGTATACGCAAAATTTGGCCCAACGATATTAAATGGTTATACGAGATGAATGTAGTATAACACCTATAGTAACTGAGACGAGCGCAGCGTAATGAAAGTTGATATAAACCAAGCAATCGCAGGACCTAGACAGTTTTGGCTCCTGCACAATGATCCCAATGATCGTGGGGCAAACAAATGCGGCAACCAACTTGATAACCGCCTAGAAGTAGGAAAATGGAATGGGCTAAAGAGGGGAAGCTGGCTATCTAACATTAAAGTAGACGTTCACCACCTTTAGACTCAGTCAGGCAGCTAGCACACGCACTGCTAACGAATCTTGTAAGGAGTAAACAGCTGTACAGCGATTTACCGGGCGTGTGGTAGCTGTTTGGCAGAGCCTAGACGTGATGAACTTCCAATTACACTATTCAACTCCCCATACTACTCCCTTGCAACACCAATGTATTGTGCAGATACCATAGCGCTATTAAACTCGATAGTTACAACGAAGCAAGACATAAATGAGAGGATATAGTTCGGATCAAGATGGATAGAACACGGAGAGAACGCTCAGTCAACAGCAGATAGGTCGTGCGTTGGGAAAATGGCCACGGTGTTTACGGCCTTTTTCGTGAACGAATAGATAAACCTGTAAATAGTCCAAACAGCATCAAATGAGCCGAAGTATACTAGCGTTTCGCAATACTGATGTCAGCGTCAAAGGTGGAGAAAAGCTTGTAACCCAAATACCAATCTTGGTTAGCTCATGAACGTATGATGTGCAAAGCATAAACAACTACCACCGCCAAATAATCGTAGTGGTAGGTTTAGTGGTGGAACTGTGAAGTGTGTATACTCAGTTCGGTGCAAAGTGGGATTTTCGAGCACCTACGCTGTGTAAAGATAACCTTAATGTCTTTGGCCTGCTGACAAGTTTTTAGCAAGGGGCACCGAAGTTACAGTTGTTCCCAGCGCTGAGGACTGTGGTTCGATAGAGAGAGAAACTAAGCTCATAAGACATAAATGTGGGTTGTCATGTGATGTTTATCCCAGAAACAGGAACCTATCCGATTATGCAATACAATCAAGTGTGATACGCAGAGTAACGCTGGCATATTTTGATTCCACTGATTGCTAAACAAAATGCCATATGACGCGGCAAATGTTCCAATAGATAGGATGACAAGACCAATGGAAGACTTCGGAGATAATCGGACTAACTAAGTCATGAGAAAGGACATCTGAAGTGTTGAGTTGTATAGATAGCATCAGAGGTACGCCGGTGCGCGGTATCGACGTTTTGCTGCTGCGCAACCAGCACCAGTTGCACGAGGGTCCCCGGTTCTACGCAAGCGCGAACCCACGCCCTCAGATTACAAAGCAGGCCTGTGATCATTAAGGCTATGGGCCGCATGTAGCGGATTGATTTGGATTAGATGCCTCTGTAAATTCAAAAGAATCATTTCGGCTTTCGCAACCTAATCTCTATCAAATTAAGCCAACGATCGCGTCCAGCAATTAAACCACCACCCAGTAAAGAAAAAAGTCGTCAGCTTTACACCGCTTCGCTGGCGTGCGACCACAAGCAGTCGCGGGTGGGCTGCGTATACTGCGAGGACGCCCACCCCTACGCGGATTCGAAAAATGACCTAATGGGTGCAAGGCAGACGAGTAGATCATGCGGCCGAACGGCCAGTTGGCAGTTCCAAAGTTCACTGTGTGTTGCGTTTCATTTTCCACTATTTTAATTAGTATCGTCATGGTAAGTTGGTGGTCCGAATACTGTTGGTTAGATGAACCGAACATAATGGCTCGCAACCGACACCAGTGGCGCGTCTGCTGCCGTCTCCTAATTGGATTGCCTGTTTAAAGTGTGCTTGGTGCTGAGTTATCTACGGGGTAATGGCTGATTATGACGCGTGGCAGTGAACGGCGTAAGGAAGCTGTCTCGCCGATGCCGCCTTATCTTTGCACGATAGCCAGCTGTTTGTGACGGTATGTTGTCTACACAAGGTATAGGCGCCTTGACCCTGAATGTTTGCTTAGGGCATTAAGGTTTTCAGGCAAGTCCCCCTTCTCTCCCTCTTCTTATTCTTTATTGCATAGGTCCTTATGGTTGTATGGCAGCGAAGCATCAGTTCAAATGGCTGATGCACTGCTGCTTATGATGATGATGTTTCACAACATGTAACGAAAAAAGCGACTTATGAGATTGTCCCCAAATAGTATGCAATAAAATGGTCTGTAGTGCAGCTCGTGAATACAACAAAACTGCAGCGTTCAAAGTTGCCTACGTTGAACACAAAATAACGACCGAGGATAGCAGTCAAACTTTGTACCGAAAAGTTGGATGTAACGAGGTGGATGATCAGTGAGCTATTACGAAGTAAGGTGTCAGTTATAGAAATGTGGACCAAGGGACTGCGTGTACATTACTTGGATCTATCAACACGCCCTACAAGTACAGACAAAACATCAAGAAGTGTGGTACAAAAAGATGCGAGCATACGATGGTCATGCGTGTTGTTGACTGCACAGTTGACAGAGGAGTTAGGTGACCCCTGTCATGAAAGAACAAGTGAGTGACAGAAGCAGTATTGCTTGAGGTCGAACGGTGACGAAAACTTACCGTTACATAATCCGCCGACAGACAAAGCATTAAGTGGTCAAATAAGCTGATGTGGTTCGACACGACAGGTAGCCTTTTTCGGTCATTGTGTGATGGCTCACTACCGTCTATCCAAACTATCGAACCGAGTACGACACACATCACCCGTAAAACGGATCTAGTAGATGAAAATAAAACGGATACTGTGTCAAAGAGAGTAAACCTCTTTAGGGCGCCGCAAGGGAATAATACCACGGAGGCCAGTAAGGCATGTGGGTAAATGAAAATTCTTATAATCATAGTCAGCAAACCCAGAGGAAAGTACGGTAGCCAAAGCGCTGCGTGGGCCCATGTTATCCTGAAAAGTAATCGATACAAAAATTGTGCAGTTGAACTGACCTCATGACGGAAGGATTAGAAGTAGTGTAGGTAGATGGGGACCAACTCTACTGGGCGGTGCAACGTAGTCACGGCTCTTGACTCTCCAACCTGTTGTGCAATGAGTCAGGTGGCTAAACGAAATACAGAAGTGTGCATGAGAATGAGGTTAATAATCAGTAAAGATTATTGACGCGTTAAACGCAAAATTTAAGCCCAAATATAGTTAGCTGTGTAAAATACAAGGAGGAGACCACATTGTCGTCAAAGAAGCCAAGTGAATTCGGTGACGACGATGGAGTGGCGTGACATCACCCTCGCTCTGAATAGCAAAGTTTACAATGCAACCGTTCGTTCGATTCTCCAAAGCGGTCTGGAAACCTGAGTCATCAAGTGGACAAACATTAAGAGACTTGTTAAGTTCAAGCATCGCTGCCCGCGCAGCTTAGCTCATATCTAATAGGAACACCGCTTGAACAAGGAGCGAGTTCGGCATCAGGTATTTGGTGCAGAAAGAGAGAGTGAACCGCTCAGAAATGTTATATCATGCATCAGGCTCCGATGGACGGGCCACATGTTGCGCATGCTAGCACACCGACTCCCACATCGTGCGTTGTTTGGGCGTCCGGAGTCTGCATGGAAGAAGAGGAAGGGAGGCCAAGCGATGGCCTTGTCTAGAGGAATGAAATCCCTCACTTCGAACAGCGTCGGCTGGTGGTACCTGACTGCTGGGTCCGAAGGAAGATGAACACGTTTGGTTGGATACACTAGCTGGTATGAGGAGCAGTCGAAACACAAGGGGCGTTTGTGTCGTGAGTCGCTTTGTCCCCCAACTCCCCTTTAGCTTCCCTCTCCAACATCGATCGGCTGGCCTGTCAAACAACTTCCCCGTGGTGCCAGGTGGACGGTTCGGGTATTTCCGGTTCGGGCGAATGGTTCGGCGGCAGTGTTCCAGGACGTGGTGGATTTGCGCCTGGCAAGCATTCTCCCTATAAAAAGCCATATATGTCCACTTAACAATACTGTGACGCGGCGGATGTGACTCGCCACTAAATAAAGTCACTGCCATTTGTCTTCTCGGAGACATTGTATACCAGCAAGCAATCCGAGTATTGGATTCTGCCTTTGACATCGGGACTGTTGTGCCCCTGGCATGGCTATCGTCATCCGAAAGGCGTATGAAGTGAATCTTCAGTCACCGGCTCACAACAGGTGCGAAACCCTTCTTTCACCCTGCTGCCTTGCGGGTTAGGTCTTTCGGCCAAAGACTGGGGGCCGTGGTCCCCTAAGACACCCTACCTAGTTTGGCCTAGGCAACCGGGTAGTATCTCGCCTGCATGGATACACACAACGACGCTCTCCCACGCTCTCATGATCCAATGTTCTACGACTACACGAACTTTACTAATACAAGCTAGCAAGTTACATACTCTTTCCTTGTATCGCTCATCCCCATTATTACCTGATTCTTCAAATGTGAACAACCCTACCTCCGCCAATGAAGTTGCTCGCTCGCCACCCGTCAACTCAACCACACAGTCCTCGACAAGGAGATACCAACCCCGAAGTCTGCCATCTTCGCTACTGCGACCTGGAATGCAGTTCAAACTAGCAACCATCAACGTGATCACATTACTGCAGATCGGACAGCAAGCTGGACCTGCACGCACGCTGGACCCTTGAACTTGATGTCTACCGCCTGAGTGAAACACAACTGCAAGATTCCAAGACAGTCTACCAGCTGTCATCACCAGTCCAACCATACCCGTTTTTATCTCCGCCTTTTCGGTGACGCCGAGTCCACTCTCCTTGACTGGATTCCATCCAATAGTCGCCTATGAGCTGTGGGTCCTGTAAGGTTAACAGGCATCGAGCAGACAAGCGTGCTCTTCTCGTGACCTTCGACTACTGACTGCAGCTCGGATGCAGTCAAGGACCATTTCTGTCAACATCTTCATGAGCAGATGCTATGGGTGCTTAAAACATACATGGTTGTTATGGGAGAGACTTAAAAGCACGTAGTGGTCGGCTGATGCCATGTGAACGCCAAGTTGGTGGATCGCACGGGTATGATGATCTTCGCTCTGACAACGGAGAGACTGCTCAGTCTTTGTGATGACCATCAACTTTTCCTCTCTAGTACGAGCTTTCGTCACCCTGGAGGCCACTATGCCACCTCCTCCATAGTCAGCCTAGCGCTGGTCCCATTGATCATATAGCCACAAGTCGCGAGTGGCGCGGCAGCGTATGCTATTGTCGACCAGTTTGGTTAACTTGTGTTGACACCGATCATACATTGGTACGAGGGATGAATGAAACGTTTCGAGCCTGACATAGAAATGAGAAAGACGGACAAGTCAAATTAAGTTTCTTATAATCTACCACTTCATTATTCAATATGTACAAAATCATTTTGCTACCTCTTTCTCATTTCAGCAGCTTGTTAAAATGAGCATGTTAAAGAATTTCGTGAAAATGGAGAAATTGGAGCATCGTGGGGTGATTAAATATCTATATCTCAAAACAATGTCGCCATATGAAATCCACCAAGATATGCTGAATACATTGCATGACAATGACCCATCACATAGTACAGTTAAACGCTGGGTGCACGAACTCAAATGCGGCAGGAAAAGTATTGAAAATGAGTCCAGGTCAAGGAGACCATCATCAGCCACTACCAAAGAAAATCTTAACCTAGCAGTGGACATGATCATGCAAGATCGCCGAGTATCTACTCGTCAGATAGCAGAGGTTGAGCATCGCCCAAGAGCGATGGACAAAGGAGTTGAGCTATTCAACTGTTTGATAATCTACCAAACAAAGACGCATGAACGGAATATTCAGTCAACGCCTCCCAATGGGCGCGATTCCCTAAATTCGCTCCGCTGCCTTGCGGGTAGGTTATTTAGCCAAAGGCACGGAGTGGAGTCCCCTAAGTCAACTCCCTACTTCGGCTTGGGCAAGCCGGTAGTATCACGCCCTCGCAAAAACATGGACTGTGCTACAACGTGCTCATCAGCTACTGTTTCTGCTAGTCACTTTCACGCTATTTCATCACACGCCAATTGTTTGTTTGTTAACAATTCTCACTTTCCGTTACCCAATTCATGTGCTCAACAATCTGGCTGCGATTCCGGTTGCCCCCCAGACCAAGGAGTTCAACCTATGGCTCCCCTTCGTCCCCGATCCTCGTTCCGTCTGGCGTGCTTCAACGTTCGGACACTCATGCAGATTGGACAGCAAACAGGTCTAGCGCGCACCCTAGATTCCCTAGACAATGATGTCTGCTGCCTTTCAGAAATCCGATTGCAAGATTCCAGCACTGCGTTTACATTGATATCCCCCACTGACCACGAAGCCAGATATCACCTGCGTCTTTCTGGAGATCCAGAAGCAGTCTCAGCGGGTTTGGCTGGCGTAGGTATAGCACTAAGTGGCAAGGCCGAGGCGGCACTACTGGACTGGTTCCCTATTAACATCCGACTATGTGCAGTTCGACTTCGGGGTTCATGTAGAATCAACAGGCACCGCGAAGAAAGACACAACTTGTTTGTGATCTCCTTGTACGCTCCAACTGACTGCAGTGGCGACTCGGTCAAGGACGAATTCTACCGGGATCTACAACAGCACTTGACTAATGCTACAAAGTCGGGTGTCGTTATCCTTGCTAGAGATTTCAATGCACGGGTCGGCCGCCTGTTACCATACGAACGCCACTTTGGAGGTCATCACGCGCTCGATGAGAACCGCTCTGATAACGGAGAGAGACTTCTCGCATTGCGCGAGGACAACCGTCTGTTTCTTTCGAGCACTAACTTCAGGCTTACGAAGAAGCGTTCCGCAACGTGGCGTCCTCCTTCTTCAACACAACCGTGGACTCAAATTGATCACATTGCAATTAGCTTCAGATGGCGCGGCAGCGTACTGGACTACAGGTCCACTTGGTCCACCTTCGTTGACTCAGATCATGTTCTGGTCTGCGCGAAAATCTGTATGTGTTTTGGAAGATCCCGAAACACGAAGCACCGCAAGACTGATGTAAACAGATTAACTGATTCCTCTGTCCAGGCGAGCTATCAGTCTTCACTGGCATATGCACTCAGTTGCAATCCACCGCAAGAAGTGGAACAACACTGGAGGTGTATACGGAAGGCAATGACCATTTCCGGACAGTCATGCTGCGGCCTAACTCGACGCCCCTTGAAGGCTTGAATCTCTGCTCGTTCTCTGGAGCTGTTCGAACGCCGTAAAGATATCCCCACGGAATCAGAGTGCAACGAGCGGCACCGTTCTGCTAAGCGGCTGCTCAAGCAAAGCCTACGCAAGGATTGCGAGACATGGTGGTCTGAGCGTGCTTTAGAGATGGAGAACGCTGCCCTCTCTGGCAACACTCGCAGGCTTTTCCAACTCATTCGGTCCACTGGCCTCAGGAAGCCTGGTGTCCGTGATGTCATTTGTGAGGTGGATGAGTCTCCGATCACCAACCAACAGAGGCGTATGGACCGTTGGGCCGAGCATTTTCACTTGCAGTTCCACTGGCCTCCACCATCCATCAGTACATGCAGTATACCTTGTTGTCCACTCTGGCTCGTCCCTCTGAACCCACCCAGCGAAGCGGAAGTCTACCTCGAGATTCAACGCTTGAAGCGCTTCAAGGCTGCCGGCTTAGACGGACTTCTTCCGGAACTATTCTAGTACGGTGGTGTGGCGATAACCAACCAGCTGACCGCGCTGTTCGCAAAAATCTGGCATGAAGAGAAAGTGCCTTCCTCTTGGGGCGAATCAGTCATTATCCCGATTTTCGAGAAAGGCGCTCGCACTTCATGTGCAAATCATCGCGGGATTAGTCTCATTACGGTTGCCTCTAAGCTATTGGCATCCATTCTGCTTCGCAGGCTATCCCCAGTACGTGAATCATTCTACCATGAAGAACAAGCTGGTTTCCGTCCTGGCCGCGGATGTGTGGATCAAATCTTCACGCTCCGCCAGCTCCTCGAACATCGCCACATTTAGCACAGGTCCAGTATCATTGCATTCCTAGACATACGTGCCGCTTTTGACTCCGTTGATCGACCTGCTTTATGGCGTTGCTTACTAAAGAACGGGGTACCAGAGAAATATACCGCCATCTT